GAATACACTCTGTGCTCATAACATATTTTTTATCTATGCCAAACACCATGATATGACAATGTTTTGAAGTAGGAACTTAAACTCATATGCAGAATCACTTCTACAAGTGCCCAGGAATATTAAAGATCCTATCTGACTGGCAGCTTTTCATCAAGGGACTGGTGTAGACAAGGAGTTGGAGCCTAATCCCCATTGTGGGCTATAGGATATTGCCATTTTCACACTTCATGTCTGTCTTGTGGAACTGATTCAGAGAGTAATTACTGCTCAGATAAGCCTCTTCTGGAATATGTGCAATTAATTCTCCTGCAAAAAAGGGGGAAGATGCCTGACACTTTAATAATGTTTAAGTACACCTAATCTATTTCTTTTCTACTCCTAATTTTTCCTAAACATGGTGAAGAATGAGGATTTGAAACTACTTACAAATGCTAGTTCTTATGAAAATTATACATGGGTCTGTAATACCCTCTCATAAAAACAGCCAACATGAAACAATATTGCAAACCAACGGAATGTAAAGCAAATGGGTAATCAATGTAAAGTGTAATTTAGATTTCTTTTCCCAAAAATAAGGACTACTGCCCTTTTCAAATGGGAACTATCTAATTTCTTTAAAATTTCAAGGACAACTGTTTTTAAAATGTAGACAGTAACCTGGACTAATGAAAATGTCTCCTTTTCACAACAATTCAAAAAATTATTCCCCCCCATGCATTCATGACATTGTTATCTGAATCTCATTCTTTGCCTGTCAAAACAAGTTGTAATGTTAAGACTGTAAAATTCAAGGGATCTGTACTGGCATAACTACATTTTGAAGTGATTTTTACACTTAACCTAAGTGTCTTTCATAAACAGCTCATCAGCAGGATTCAAATGCATCTAAGGTTTTCTGTTACACTTCAAAGCTGAGTAACAAGTACTCATCCTCACCATACTTCAAAAATTGAGCAATTGGCTAATTGCCCATTATTGAAATCAAAGTACATAAAACAGCTAAGCTTGCCATCACTCTTGCCCTCCAGGAATACAGTGTATTTAGGATACAGCAAATAAACAAACAAATACAAAAAATTCATTCCTCGCCAAAACCATCATCCACCAACCCCCTCCCCAAATACCACAGCACAAGTCCCATGCCCTCTCAAATCATTCAACCTACATTTTGGGCAGGGAGGTAGAGCTTATTTGTGATTGGAAAGGATGAGAAAAAAGTTTAAAAAATAAAAATAGAGCAGTTTTGTTTTGTTGAGCTAACTCCAGAGTATAGCCCAAGAGCAGTAACTTCTGCAGCTTGAGGTAAAACCCACTTAGGTGGCACTGTACCTTGTTATTCCGTAAATGTAGAAAATCTAACATTTGATAAAGAGCAACCTCCATGGCAGAAAAATATTCCCAACAGCTGGGCTGTAAGGGGGATTAATTTCCTGACCTAACTTTGCCTCAACTCCACTCAGAATTGACTCCAACTGCCTCACTACATTTTTCATTTAGGTGGCAGTACACACGACTTGAGTCACACAGGGAATCAAGGTTGAAAGGATAATGGTGTTAACTCTCATTTTTCAGCATGAATGTTGCCGTACCAATGACAGCAATAGAATAAATGTTACTGTAAACAGCAGTCAGTTATTTTTGCCAATATAGCATGAAAATATTTTCTGCTTAAAGTCACTCTGAGTGCACACACTGCAGCGGAAAAAGATCGATTTGGGAAAATATATGGAAAGATGCAGTTGCAGGCAGACCTGGGTATGAGACAGCTGAGGTTTTAAATACCTTCATGCCCAAAAAAAACTAAGATGTTTATTTATTTCAGTTATTTTAGGGGAAAAAAGAACAGAAAAGAAAAGAAAAGAAGAGCACATTCCCTGCAGAATGGATATGCTTAACTCGATTCCCCGGATAATATTTTCACAAATGAGTACAGCTTTGAGAGAAGTGGTGATTTGAAGCCAAATTTTCAATTCCTGCTGAGGTTTACCATTTCCAGGTATCTTTAGAGCAGGTTTGGGTACCTGACATTTCTGAAGCAAGCATTTTTCAGGAGATAATGGAAGCATGGAGGAATTAATTCCACTTCCCTACCTCCTATCTTTATTTCTCTAATAATCATTAAAAAAGAGAACAAAAAAAAAAATCTGCAATAGACTATGTTCTTCTTTGTTTATTAGGAGGCAGGTGATGGCTCCTTGTATTTTATCCTTTCTACCTGGGTATTGCAGCTGAGCATCTAAACCCCTATTTCTCTAGTATTTAGCTTTTCCCCCCTTAAAAAGCTATTTAACAATTCTAAGTTCTGAAGCTTCAGCAGCTCACACTCCATTGACATTTTCCTCAGCTCAGCTCCTTCATAATACATTCAAATGAGGTAGGAATGCTTTTTTAAAAGTATTTAAAATTTAAGAAAAAAAAAATCAGAGGAGAAAACTACTAGAAAAGTCTAGCAAATCTAGAGGAAAGCAAGAACCAAAAGCTCCCACACAGCCAAAATTACCTTAAGTTCACTTTGGGTTAGTTGAAGAGTTTTGCAGTAAAACCAGCTAAACAAGGGTTTTACATATACATGCAAACATTCAACTTGAATGCTGCAAGTACAGATTTTAATGTACTTCCTAAAAAACCACAAAACTGACTCCTACTCAAATACGCTTTTATGTGCTATTTCTGAATTAGCATCAGGATGACATGCTTTCAAGACAGGCAAGTTGCATTTAAAAATTTTGTATTTCCATATTCAGAGTGACAAATGGAACATGGGCTGCCCCAAGACACAAGAACAAAAGCTTTAGTTTTCTATGAAGTGCTATGTCTGTAATAAATTGCAGCTATGTGAAAATATGTGCAGTTTCATTAGCCACAAATGACTGCTCTTAACTTTTCTAAACATTCACTTTCCAAATGTTTACAGTCTCACAAACACATAAGTAAATGCAGCATTTGCAGAATATTAAAGCATGTTTCACATCAATTTTTGGTGAGTTTTATGCAAGCTAGGAAAACATTATCAGAATTTCCTGGCAATCATTACAGATTTAATTAATTTTTATCAGCTCTGAAAGACAGCTTACTTTCCCTCAAGAGTACATTGAAAAAAGTTTCTAAGAGCATCTCACACTATCAGGAGCCAACTTCAAGTGCCATGGTGGCAGGACCCAGGACAGCTCCAGAAAAAGGACACTGAATGTGCAGTATTGCAGGAGATGCAGTAGAGATTTAAAAAGCACACCTATGACTGCACTTAGGCAACTCAAAACAACAAAAACAACACACCAAAAAAACCCAAAAAACAACCAAACAAAAAAACCAACCCAAAACCACACCACAAAAAACTTCTTTTCCTGTGGTGTTTGCACTCGTTTTTTTCTAGGTTTCATAAACTAAAATAGTTTCTGTCATGTTCACCTCCCCAACCTGGCTTTAGTCAGTTCAATTAGGAGTAAATCAGATGTACTGAGTCCTTTCAAAGGTTAATTTCAAACAACTAAACCTGGTCTCAAGAATCTCACCTGCACTCCCCTTATAAGTCTTAGAGTGTCAAAACTGAAATCAATTAATAATGGATTAAATCCATGATACTTTCAATAATCTAGAAATCCTTATTTCAAGGCCCTGGGAGGTTGTACTTTTTGTCTATTATGACAGTTCCCTGGAGGTCTTTTTTTCATCAAATGATGTATACACAGATGAATTTTGACAACAGTTCACAGCAAGTGAGCTACGGCTCCCTGTATCAATACTGGGTAATTTTCCACTGACAGAATGGTCCACCAGTTACATAGCATATGTTCTGAACTAGACTGATATAAAATTAATGCTCCAGGACAGTGGAGAAGTTTGATGCACCTTATGTCCCATTTTTTCATTTAATTTTAGATAATAATTACACAATACATCATTTCTTAATGTAGCCAAACATAAAACAAAGAATATTGATGATGTGTATTTATTTTGCAGATGTAAATATAGCAAATAAATCTTTCACTCTTGGGCAGGATTACATTTTTCCCATGCAATTTGAAACTCAAGTTATTTGGCATAAAAGTGTACTTCTGCTTTTAGTGAGTATAAAAAAAAAAGGCATAATAGCTAGACCTGAATTAATTCTGTTCAAGTTCTGAGCTAGGCACGAGAGACAAAAGACAGAAAGGCACAAAAATCCCCTGAGGTAGATCAGCAAATTAAGATCTAATTAGGGAAACAATCCTTTGTCCCAAAGGGTGATTAAACAAAATCTTAGGTGCCCACACAGCTGCAGCTTTCATGGAAGGAAATGTGCTGAATGTCCTCCTGAAGGTGGTGCCCTACAGGATTTCCCTGCAGTGAGAGAGGAGGTGGAAACTCCCTCTGGTTTATTTGCAAATACTGAAGATATCCATGTTTTAACCACATTCCATCAAAAAAGGAATCTTAAAACTCTGTTGCCACAGCCTTAGCAAAAGAATAAAACGCATTTTCACGTCTTTACTATTTTGTAATAGCTGAATCATGTATTTTGCTTCAGTCACTGAATGTACTTTGTCAATCCTAAAAGCAGTAGTAGCCGAGCATTAGTAGCTCATATGCTAAGTAAAGGTTCAGCAAGTGTAAGAATATGTATTACCTTATGCAAAGACATCTATTATGGAGAAAAAAAGCAGCTCATGGGAGAAATACTGGCAATTTATCAGGCATGTGCATGGCCCTTCAAGATTCTGGCATATGCGTACAGTGCTGTGCTTATCTGCTTCTGATCAGACAACTGTCAACACAATGTCTTGAAAGAAACTTTTACAAGCAGGGAACCTGCACAGTAGCCTCTTCAGAGGCTGACAAGTCCCTAGAAAAGTACAGTCAGTGTTATCAGTGTTTATCTGAATGATTAACATAGCCTTAGGCTAGTAATTCTGTAGCAGGTGTGAAATTGTGTTTCTTTATTATCTGGTCTTGGAGTGATATTATCAGGGAAATGAACCCAAAAACACCCAGAAAAACCCCCCACTGCTTCTCCTACTTACCAGCTCCTCACGAAGCTGGGCTATGAGCTCTTCTCTCTCCTTCAGCTGCAGCTTCAGCACTGAGCATTCATCTTTTATTCCATCCTAGAAAAACATCAAAAGAAATGTTATAATAGGCTTAACGCTTCTACTTTTCTCATGACAAGAAAAGGCTGTTTCACATAGTGTGAGATAATTACATTCAAATAATGAAACTCCATTTTTCTTTGTCATGTGTGGTATTTTCAATAACATTTCCTAAGTTGCTGCATAAAGAAATTAATGTATCCAAAAACATTGCATAGAAATTTGAATGGCTCCCTGCACAGAAGTCCATTTCATTGTTTTCTGAATCTTTCAACTCTTTTCACTGAAGATCCTATCAGGTCATTCCTTTTCATTTGAGAAACAGCTATGAAATGTTGTAATTTTAATCATACAAAACAACATTAGAGAAGTATCAATTTAGAGCATTATTGCAGAGCTCTTGATCTTGGAGAGATGAAAAAGAAAGCACAACAGACATGCACAGGAAAAGGAAAGCACACTCCCCATCCATACATCTTTTGTCCCACATCAGTTAAAAGAGGAGCAGTTCTGGTATTAAGTGAGGGAGGAAAGAAGATAGTTACCACTTAGTGAATAATTTTTGCAACTGAATCTGACCTGCCTGAAAGTGACCCTAATAGCTAAAACTGTACCCAAACCCATGTCCAGGAGGCAGGCTGCAAGCAGTCCCCAGGAAATCTCATGAGTTCATGTAACTCTCAACACCATATCTGAAGAAGAAATATCAAGTTCTGTGTTGCTCTGATAAACATCCCAGAGGAGAAATTCAAATTAATAGATTGAACTGTTGAAAAGTAAAAACTTAGTAAACTAACCAGCCAATTAGCTGGTTATGCAACTGTAACAGAACAACTCTATTTTTACATTCTTCAAGCATGGAAACACTTAATGGAAACATGGGAAGTTCACTAATTTGGAATACTATTATTGAAAGGAAAAAAACAAAAAACCAAACCAAAAAATCCAAACAAAAAAACCAACCAAACAAAAACACCCCAGAAAACCACCAGCCATATGACAAGAAAACTTTTGGCAACCTGGTGGTATATTCACAATGTTTGTTCTGAAAAAAAAAAAAAATTGGACCTCTAGTTACCAGCTAATAGCAGTATAAGAGTGCAGAAATTATTTATATTGTGTTGAGTTCAGAGGTTCTAAAGGTCATAACCAGTGTGATAAACTTGCACTTTGCCACTACTAATGTGTTTGGAAATCCAAATCAACACAGAAATACAGGACAAAAAAAGTAGCATGATCCCATTTTCCTCACATAAAAGATAATAATTATATCCTTTCAAAATAATTTCATTGCTCATCATCTGCTCTAACAGAATTGGAAGATGAAACAAGACACATACACATCAATATTCTAAATATTTAAAATAACAGCAAGAGAAAGCGTTACACCATTTCCAGCTGCTTGCACACTACTTCAGTACTACTATATATCTTCTGAAAGATCCAAATTTATAAAAAAGCCAGAACTAAAACAATCTCTGCTAGGGAAAAATTCGTGGAAGTTTTCTTTATTATATGCTATTGAAGCATTTTACTATCTACTGGCAGATTCATGTTTAGGCACATTAGCTGAAAATAAAATTTTAGCGCATCCCAGAATATGGCCCACAGCACTGGCTATGATATTGGTAGGCATTAAACATTACTGTTAGCAAAAATATCTGCTTCTAAAAAGTATGGTTTTAAGTATCAGCAACAATTATTTTATAAAAGCAAGGTCTTTATTTAACAAAATGGTTTTAAAACAATAGGGCATCAGCTATGGTACCTCAAATTTGTTACCTTGTTCTGAATTCTTACTGTCAGTGCAGTTTTACACTGTTCCTACCCTCTGAATTTCTCTTTTTAACTTAGAATAAAATAGTACAACACACAGTTGAAAAAGAAAAACGTAAGAGTTCCATAGCCAAGACAATTACAAAAATAACTTCTGGAAGGCATGCACAAGGAGGCCTGTAACATCATGCCTCAACCACAGCAGGAAAGATTTCTGCAATGAGCTTTGGCACTAGGTTTATCTAAGAGGTAAAGCCGAACTCCCTTGGACTAGTGAGAGCTTGAAGAAAGATTCTGCCTCAGAGAGCTTCCAAAGGCTTAAAACCCACAGTGCACCTCTCCCGGCAAAAAGCAGTGGAGCTGTTGTGGATCCCACAGTGGGCCCAGCTGGATCTTCCTCACGCAAGCAAGGAGTGGACTCCTCCTGCTCAGGCACTTAACTGCCACATTCCTTGCAACAATTGTCTCATAAAATTTAGACCATAACTACCCTTAAAGCTTGGAGAAGAGCATGGAGGGCTAAGGTCTTTGCATTGTCTCATTTCAGCAAAACACTGATTAACCCTTCCAGTGGGACACAGTGCTTGGAAATCAGTGCCCCACATTATCAACTCCTGCACAGGCCATTGCAGCCTTGTTAGAGAGAACTCTGCAATTTCTGCGATGCTTGAGACTCTCAGGTTTGGACTCCGCAATGATTTTGGCGGAGGGAGAGTTAATTTTCTTCACAGCAGCTTTAATGGCACTACAGGTTAGATTTGGTTTGGAAGCAGTGTTGATAATACAGATGTTATTTTGTTTTTGCCAAGCAGCACTCACACGGCATCAAGGTCTTTTCTGCTTCTTGTATTGTCACTGCAGTGAGAAGAGGGGGGTGGCACAAAGGAGTTGGGAGGGGACACAGCCAAGACAGCCAACTGATCCAAGGACTATTCCATCAAATGTGGCATTGTGCTGGGTATACAAAGCAAGGGAAAGGAAGAGGAAGGAATGATGGCGCTCATCTTCCCAAGTCACCACTACACACGTCAGAACCCTGCTTTCCTGGAGCAGCAGACAGCTGTTGTTGAATGCAGAGTAGAATTAGGATGTTATAATCTCATTTTGCTGCACAGTATCTGCAGAGGCATCAATCTTCCTTCAAATGCAAGAGCGTGAATAAAAGAAAGAAAACACATTGTCAAGCAGTTGACTGCAAAAAGGTTTGGGCAATTTCAGCGTCCCAGACACCTGTCTGAATGTAGCACTAACAGAATAAAAAATATTGTGGAAAAAAACTGTTGTCAAAACACTGAATATAGTTCCTCCAGAAAGTAACTATTGAAAGCTGTGGAAGAGAAGAGGCTCGGAAAATCCTTTTCTCATGCAAGAATCAAACTATTTCAGGGAAGGATTGCATGAATGATATTAAAGTAATTGCATGTTAAGGAAAGGTGTGCAGGGCAGCAAAAACTGGGGGAATGCTGTGCTTTTCATTAGTCTGTGGGTAAACAGCAATATATATCTGATGGTGTGAATTCAGGAATGGATCATCTCTACTCCTTAGGGGTCTGAAATGCTCCATTATCTGCTGAGAAACTATAATACAGGGCAAAGCTGCTGTGGAAAGACCAAAAAACTTTTTGAGATAAGCTTCTCAAGGTAAATGAGAAATAGTAGATACAGTCTGATGGGGATACAGAGTACAAAAAAAAAACCCAAAAAAAACCAACAAAAAAAAAAGCCCAAACCCAAACCTCCCAAAACCCCAGTATTGCCTCCTAATGAATTGCCACAGTAACAGATATTAAAGAAGAAGTAAGTTGAAAAGGATGGCCTGCTTTTAGGAGAGCATGCACTCAGTGTATTCTAAATCCACACTAAATCTTACTAACCTGGAAAAAAAACCGTTTATCTCATAACATAGGGCTTTCTAAATGCACTTTGAATACTCTGGGACTGTGAGAGTCAGCCTCTTAGCTACCTCCACATTCCAGCAGACACCTGACTGATGTATTCCTGTGTTTAGAAAAATAAGCTAAATTATAAGTGTGGGCATGATCACATTTACAAAATATGTCTCCCACTTTTTTCAGCCCTTACAATATTTGTAGAGTGTAAAGAACAGACTGTCACATAAGTAAATTTAATTTCAGAAGCCAATTAAAATCAATAAAATGTCCACAGATATAATAGTCTGCTGGGTGACATTTACTTTTTCTATTTACTAATACCCTTAGCCACTTTTTATTCCTTCTCTTTCTGCAAAATGAGTTTATGCCAATATTTTATCAAGGCTACTAGTCCAGTAAGAACAAGAATGCTATGAAATTATCAGTCCAAATAATGCAATCTAAGCTCTAGGCATGTTTTCATAAGATACCTGTACCACTGCAGCTTTGCATACCTGTGCCCTGCACCACAGGGCCCTTTTGCAGAGCTTAATAAATTATATATACTACATATTACATTGTCTTTATTATTATCATTGTTTTTATGAATGCTGTTCATTATTTTACTATGAAAAAAAGGATGAGAATTCCACTCTCAGTTGTAGTAAGGATGTCCACGACTCTGGAAATGCTTGATAAAAAGTCAATTAACACCTCATTGTTAAAGAAAACTGTTAGCATAATCCGTAAACAGTACACCTTCAAACTACTTTTTTTATTAAATTCAGATAATAAAAAAAATTTTTTCAGACTAAATTCCAAGTGCATTTCATAAAAATGTAAAAGTAGCTGTATGCAAAAAGATATCTATCATTTTCTTCACTTATTTCCTGTGATACTTAGAAAAAATCCATGATTTAGGTGCAAGTTCATTATCGATCCCCTGTTATTACTACATACATTTATGGTTAGAATATTCTTCAAATTATCACCTTTTTACTTATTTTCAGTTGCTAGCTATGACAGCAATTGCTGTATCTCAGTGCCAGTATTTTCCTATTTCAGTTTAATTCTGCTCATGTGGGAAAACACTAAACATAGTACCAAATCTGTTTCTCCTCAGATCAGGTCACAAGATGAAAAACTGTGCTGTGTGTGAAGACAGCTGCAGGAGGTTATGCATAAGTGCCAAAAAGAATAATCATTTTAAACTTGAAAACTTACTTTATACCTCTTCACAATTTGGAGCACAGAGGCATATTGTGCTTACAGTAATCAAAGTGCTATAAACAGAACTAACCAAGTATTCTGGGAGATAAATTTACTGCTTTTCCTCTGATACTAAACAGAATATGTTTCTAAAGAAACACC